ATGTGGAACACAGCAGCAACGTGTTTGCTTAGTGCCTTACCATTCATCTGATTCAGCTGCCCTATTACGAACCCAGTTACCTCCCTACATCCATTAACACTGACTATTCCCATGAGTCGGGAATGCTGTGCATTGTGGAGCATGTCTGGAATTCAATACCTCTTGGATAGTATGGTAGAATTTGGAGTACATTAAGAAAACACACTAACCCAAAAGATGGGGGAGGTGCAGTGTAAATGGTAACAGGATTTCTGAAATAGAAGGGCAGTCAAGAAGGGGAAGTCCTGAAATAATTAGCTCTTTGACGAGGATCTGGTAATATGGGGGAAAGAAAGACATCTTTAAGATCTCTGTTCCCTGAGGTGGACAGGGGAAGGAGGAGCAGGCAGGAGAGGAATGATAGTGTTCTAGGGTCTATTTGAATAGTTGAGAGGATACATTGGGCATAGAAAGTTCTTGATCAGAGAACTAATTGTCATTATTCTATAATAGAGAGGCATGTACTTGATTCTGAATTCTGGACTGGCAAGTAATCTTCGATGGGTATGCGTTAGAGTAGAACTTGGACATTATCATGGAGAAAAACTGAATGGCAACTTTATGAGATCAGCAAAACTAAGAAAAAATGTAAGAAACATGTAATATAAAATAAATAATAAAATAAGGTGGAGAAACATCCTGTATTTGTGCATGGGAGGTTTTAATAGCACAGAATGTCATTTGTCAAAAAACACTATGAAGGAATTTTTTTTTAATTAGAAAAATAAGATTTGGAAATAGATGTGAACAAATGCCTGGGAGGAGGCAGAGAATATTTTGACTTTTTAAAAATGTGCTCCTTTTTATTGCAATAACTTTGGTATACAACACTGTACTGGATTTAGAGGTTAGGTCATACCTCTTCAGATGTATGTTATCACACCAGGCTCAACACTAAGACATCCATACTCCTCCACACTCTGTTCCCCGCCGTTGCCCTCTATTGCCAGAGTATATTTTGAGAAAAAAAATCTGGAGAAACTTGTCCTCTCGTGACAACAAAGGGTAAAAAATCATTTTAATTATTCTGGTATTGACAGTAATATAAAAATAGATAATAGAAAAGAATTAAGAATCTAGATTAGATCTAGACATAGAACAAAAAAAAGACCTATTTACCTACCTACCCACCTTACTCTTTACCTTTGTTCATTAATGAAAGGATGAATTTATTAAGAATGGCAGTAATATAAAAATGAAATGAAACTAAAAACCTTAGATTGTGTACTTAGAAATGCATGATTATAGGAAAATTAACAATATTCGTTTGGCAAAAGTGACCATAAACAAATTTAAAGGCTAAGTCATTAAACTGAAAAAATATAATTTGCAACTTGAAGGACGGAGAGAAGGCTAATATTATAATGTGCATAGAACTCTTTCAGTTTGCCAACCTGGGAGTGTTGAAGACACAGGTACCCACCCCATGATCCTGTCAAGGATGGTAAACAGATGTCATTCAGGAGTGCCTCAGCACCTATAGGTACCACTGCAGTGGGGCTTTATCATCCGGGAGAGATTGACCTCAATTTAGAATATAACGTGGACAAGTGAGGATTTATTGTCGGGGGAACAGGGTGGTGGTCAGTGGGGGGAAGAGTACTGTGACAAACAACAGGGTTTGCTGGGGGGGCAGGGGAGGGATGAGGTTGGGCTAGTGTCCCCTAACTGCAGATTGCTGTCTTCGCTGCGAGAGGCCAGAATATCTAGACACCACTTGGCAGAATGCAGTGCATGGGGAGCCTGGTAAGCCATCGAGAGTGTAGAGTTCTAGTTGAAGGGACTTTAGTGGGGTTGTTGCAAAAACTGGCACAGGGAAGTACATGGATGTAGAAGTCTCCAGAGCCTAACTGAAGTTTGGTCAAGTAAAGAATGTAAAAGTAATATAATGGAAAAATGGCCAAAAGGACAAAGTCATAATATTTTTTATGAGAATCAAGTTTGTTACAACATTTCTGGAAAGAAATTGAGTAAGATACATTAAAATTACAGGGTCTTTATGCCAGAAACCCCACTCTTGAGAATGTAGGTCAAAAGGAAAGTCCATTCATATAAAAAAATACATGGGCAAGAAGAATTGTACATGACTTAGGGTGACAAAAGACGAGAATGTGCATCAATAAAGAATGTTACCTATACACCAAGAGGTGTTATGCACCTTTTAAAAAGGGTGAATTTAAGTCAAATTTGGAGTTCCAATTTATTTTTTTTTTTAAGATTTATTTTATTTTATTTATTTATTATTTATTTATTTATTTATGCAAGCACTGGGTACAGTCAGAAGCGCGGGAGGGTGAGAGAATTCACCAGAGCCAGAGCGGGGAGCAGAGCAGGCAGAAGGACCGAAGCACACTGCTGAGGGGAGCAGCGGGCGGCAGGAGAGGTCTGCGCGCCATGTGGGACCCTCCTCCGGTGGCAGGGGAGCAGCCGGGGATCGAACCGGCGCTGCAGAGGCTGCGGGCAGCTTCGCAACCCAGCGCTCAACCGCTGCGCCACCGGGGAGGCCCTGGAGTTCCAATTTAGAGGAATTTCTATATGAGGTGGTATTAAGCAGGAGGAGAAAAAGATACTATAGAGAACATAACATGAGTATGTTCTTTAAAAAGACAAAATCCTGTGTGTGTGTGTGTGTGTGTGTGTGTGTGTCATGTGTGTGCCGTGTGTGGGGTTACCGGGGCCTGCAGAGAATGTGAGTGCTGCATGCCACACTTGATATTGGCAAAAGTCGTCTGTAGCGGGCCGGTTTGTGAGAAGTGGAGTGGCAGGAGGAGCAAGATGTCACGGTGAACCCAGCAGCAAAAGTCAAAGATGTAACATGATCACATTTAGGGATTTTTGTAAAAAATACATATGTATATCTAAAAAGAAATAATTCAGGGGAGAGCAGCAAAGAAGTCGTCCTCTTTGCATCTGGTAATGACTTTCCTCTCAGTCATTACCACTCAGCCTGCCTCAGGCTTCTGGAACCCAATGCTGTGCACATCTCTGTGCTCACTGGTTCTTGTTTTGACTAGGCTAGTAAGCCAACATCCCATGAATGGGCATAGGAAAGACTTGAAATCCACTTTTCCATTCTGCTTTCCACCATTCACTGTAGTTTTAGCTTCCCAGCCTCAGATCTCCTCTGAAACAGGGCCACCAGTCCATTGGAAAGTATCAGTTCCTCCGCGAGGCCCCCAGTACAGCCTTTGGAGCATCTCACTGCACCATCCTGGACCCTCAGCCGTAGGAGGTTGGGTGGGTCCGTGGCTTGCAATGATTGGGAGATGTATCAAGTTGAAATTTGTACTATGCTTTCCCACCGAAAATTTGTAAGTTTTGGTTATTGGCTTTCTGGTATCTTTGTGCCAGAGTTCAGGTCACATTGCGCATAAGTCGACTCTTGAGGACTAGGCTGGGGGAATAACTACCAGCTCTAATCCCGTTTCTAATAGAACATACGAAGTAGTGCACACACACAGGAAAAAGCCATGTACAAATTAACTTTATAAAAACAACCTGTTTGTAAACTGGGGACTAACAATCTTAGTGAAAAACTTTGTAAATTATAAAGCTCATGTATTTGTGTTAAATATGAAAGTGATCTGATTTGACTTCGTGGTAGACTTTCCTGTTACAAATGAGTAGACTAATTTTCCTTTGAGCCTCACTGCTAACTGGAGTTTGCTGAACCAAAGTGACTGACCTTTCAAGGTAGAGGGAGCCTTTATTCATATTCTTGCACTTTTTACACCTATTTCTCCTGCAAGGCTTAGCTCTGAGTTTTTAACTTCTGAACCCCTAATCGGAAGCACAGGTTATGAGAAAGTGGAAAAGAAAGTTAATATCGACTGAGCATGACCTCATGCCAAGTTGTTTGATCATTACAGTAACCACAAATTAGGTTCCAACGGAGGAACAGACTCTGATGAGGTTCACTAACTCTCCTGGCCTGGTATCAAGTGTGCAGTGGAGTTAGCTTTTTAAATATGATATTAATTTTAAACTTTCAGATAAGGATAGCATATACTAGGTAGTTCACAATCACAAGTGTTGTTGACTCTTCAGGAAGTGAGCATGGCCCATGAAATCAGATTCCAGGTAGGAACAACACTGCCAGGCCTAAGAGCTGCGGGCATCCCCTCACTCATGGCCCCTCCCACTAAGGTCACTCCCCGACTTTAGCACTTCCAGTATCAGGAATTAGATGACTTGTTTCAGTTGTTTTTGAACCTTATACAAGTGGCATCAGAGCGTATGTATTTATGTCTGAATGTTTTCTCTAGCATCATGTTTAGGCTCTGCACGAATCCAGCTGCCTGCCATTGTAGTTTGCTCATTCTTGTCACTGTGTGATATTCCACTGTGAACATAGCACAGTTAGCTTATCTCGTCTGCTGCTGGTGGACATCTAGTCTGCTTGATCGTTTACAGCTTTTAGCTGCTATGAACATTCTTGTGCATAGTTGTCTTTCAGTGCATAAATGTACACATTTCTCTTAAATATACACCTTGGACTGTAAAGGTTGTGTCATAGAATTTTCATAAGAAAATTTGATTCATTTATGTTATTTTTTTTTTAAGATTTATTTATTTATACAAGCACTGGGTATAGTCAGAAGCGCAGGAGGGTGAGAGAATACACCAGAGCCAGAGCGGGGAGCAGAACAGGTAGACTGATGAAACACTCTGCTGAGGGGAGCAGCAGGTGCGGCAGGAGAGGTCTGCGTGCCAGGTGGGACCCTCCCTGGCGGCCGGGAATCGAACCGGTGCTGCAGATGCTGCCCGCAGCTTCGCAGCCCAGTGCTCAACCGCTGTGCCACCGGGGAGGCCCTCCTTTATATTCTTTTTAACTGCATTTTCCAGAGTGGTTATTCCCGTGTAGATCCTGACTGGCAGCGTGGGGGATTTCTGACTGTCCACATCCATGCCAGAAACTTCTGACTCCAAAACCCAATGATTTGTTTCCTCTTCTCTAAATTTTATTTAAAGGTCAGAACTTGGTACCTATTTTCTTTTATAAATTCCATGAGTCTTCCTAAGATTTTTCTTCTTTGTTCATTATGTGAGTTTCCTTTTTTATACTGGAAAACATATCTGTGCTGAATGGAATTTAGTAGGGTTAACAGTGTATCAGAGGCCTCGTGTAAGTATTTGTCTTCATCAAGCCCAGCCTCTTCTATTTTTTCAGCATGGGTGAAAAGAATGGCAGTGTGATTCATCCAAGCCTGTCCCAGAAGTTCCTGAAAGAGAGAAGTTGTGAGATGGCTATTTAACTTAGACTATATTCCTCATAAATAAGCAAAGGAGTTTTTATGGTCCAACATAGACAGTCAACAGATGTGCATGTCATTATGTTTCTAAAAGGTGATGTAGGCAAAGGGCAGTGAAGGCTGGTCAAATAATATAATCAAATCAAGGGCTTTTTAAAAAAAGCTCTAATTCTCTATTACTCTGCTGCTGTAATTTATTTACTCATTGCCCCCAAACTGTGTATAATCAATGCAGTGTATGCCATGGTCACATTTACACCATTTGTCAGTCTGAGTCTGTTAGAAGCACTGAGACCCGTTAAGTTAGGGAACTTTGGGCCAACAGAATTGCCATATCTTGTCTTGTAGGAATGTGGTTATAGTCATTGCTAAAAACATCTTCTGAGGACTTGTAATTATATAATCTGGTTACAATCTATTGATTAATCAGATGACATGTAATGGAAAAGTTAAGGTCAAAATACATTCGGTGATTTGGAACAACTACAAAATATTACTGTGATTTGCCTAGAATCAAACCCAATTTATCGGATGACTTCCTCTCATGCTGTGGAAAAACATTGAAGGCTGGTGTGCCTTTGTTTAGTAATATTTGGAAGTTGGTTATGTAATAAATTCTTGTTTGATTAGTGAAAGTAAGCTGATAAAAAGCAGAAGTAACAGCATGTGGCAAATTGTTCACGCAATATGAAAGGCATCTAGAAATCACCATTTAACTTTTTTGAATACTTCCAAAGTTACATGAAGTAATGACATTGTGACAGTAAAATAACATTCCTCCATTCCAAACACTCCCATTACCAAAATATCTCCAAAGCTGCTACTAGTTTATTATAGCAAGAAAAATAGAAAATGCTTAGGAATAAGCAGAGCAAGAAATACCCAGGACCTTGAGTAATCAGAAGAAAGAAGTAGGAACAGCTAACATTTTGTCCCAGATAAATAGTTTTTATTTATATAGTTATAATATTAATGACTAGAAATAATGAAAGGAAGAAATTGAAAAAGGAATAAAGAAGGGGAGAAAGTGAGAGGTAGGAAAGGCAGAGAGAATCGGGGTATGCAAATCTAATATGAAAATACAGTACTGGGGGAGAAAATGAGAGGGAGGAAAGGCAGAAAGAATCGGGATATGCAAATCTACTATGAAAATACAGAAAATATTTGAAATTGGAAACACCTTGAGACCATGGTTACCAGTTTTAACTGCTAATCCAGTCTCACTTTTGTGAGACCCCTCTACATGTTCATCTCTATAACTTGACCCTGAGCTCTTTGAAGACAAGGTCTTTACTAGTCCAAGCTCAGTGCACGTTGTAAACGCAGTGTCTGTTGATTCAGTTGGAACCCAGCCTCTTACTATCATCTCAAATAAAAGACTTAGGGTTTTATTTATTTTTGTATTTCGTCCTGATATTCAGTTAATCTCTGGGACACAAAGTTGTACTTTTCTGTAGAGCTTCTCTTTTGTTGTGTAAATCATTATCATGGATTTGCAATTTTTTTTTTTGTAGTCAGAGGAAGTCTTTTAAGGACTAGATCTAAATTTTTCCTCATATATGTGCCAAATTTGCCCATACCATGAAATACTTGTCAATTTCTAGTTCTCCTCAAAATGCCCTGCTCAAGAAAATCTGAATTGCTGTTTCAAGATAAATACCTTACGGAATAAAGTATTCTAGCAAAGTTTCTAGACTTTACAAAATAATTTTTCAAAGAGCACTTTGTCCTATTATGCGCCTTTAAAAACACACGTTAGCAAAACCTTAATTAACCTCAATTTAAAAAAATAGCTCTTGCATATGTCTAAGTACATGTAATGTCAAAATCAGATTTTTGCTAATAGGGATGTAGCACATTAGCAGAGCATACCATATAGTCAGCATACTCTCACATCTCCTGTGGGACAGGAGTCAGAGCTTCAAAATAAGCAGACAGTGGTGTTTGACTGAAATGTGTTCCCTCCTTCCTCCTTGCAAATTCCTACGTTGCAGTACTAACTTCCGACACCTCAGAATGTGACTTGATTTGGAAGTAGGGTTGCTGCAGGTCTGATTAGTTAAAATGGGGTCATTAAGGTGGGCTCTGATCCAGTATGATTGGCTGTGTCGTCTGCTCTCCTAAAAAGGGGCTATTTGCATGAAGAATGAATACAGAGAGAAGGCCATGTGAACATCCATCCACAAACCAGCAGCAAATAAATCCTTAGCAGGCCCTTGGCTCACTGCCCCTCAAGGAAACAACCCTGCTAACTTCTTTTTAAAACTTTTCAACCTCCAGAACCCACACAATAATTTTTTCCTGAACCACCCAGTTGTGGTAGTTTGTTATGGCAGTCCTAGCAAATTAATACAAATGGTTGAAAAGTAATGAAGTGCTACATACATCTAGGTTCCAGGAGTAGAAAGATTCCTGGGCCATTTATATAAGTATCTCTAGGAATGGTGCCTGAGAATTTGAATTTTTAAAAGCACTCTACAAATGTTTATTGAGGGTCTATTTTGTTCTAGGGAAGAACTGAGAATGAGGGACAAAGGAAAAAAAGACTTTCGATTTGTTGCAATTGCAAGTATTGTGATAGAAAAGACACCTGTGCTTTAGATACGGGCTTTTAGCCTCTGTACTTCCAGTGCAGTTGGGCTGGGGTGGGATGTGAGGTGGGAATTAGGGGTAAAGGGGGAGAATTAGGAAAAGCTTCTGGTATGTGATGATGCCTTGAGTATTGTCACTAACAAGTCAATTGTTGGGTGGAAAAGACATTGCAAGTTAGGAGAGCGTTGGCGCATTACTGGGTATTGTAGAGTATTAGGGTTCTCTTCATACAAGTGCAAGTATTAATCCTTCATCACTCTTGTCTTTCCAGTCTTCTGTTTTGACCCAGACCTGATACTCAGCCTGCACATTACTGATGTGTTTATTTTGATTTTCGTAGCACTGAAATGTTTAATTTTAATGCCAGTTCATAAATAGTTACTGCTCTTACCACTGAATGCTACTCCCAAATCTAGCCCCTAGATATTGTCATTAAATATTTGTCATTACATATTTTTAAAACATCACCATAATAGAAGTTCATGCTAAATAAGCTGTTTGGCTCAGTTAACTCTTTTCCTGAGTTTCTGTCAAATCTGAGCTCATAGAATTCTTATCTTGCTATTTAGTACTTACTGCATTAAATGGTATAACATTCACAGTATGTCTTCAGTGACTGATTTCCTCCATTGGATTGTAGTGTAACATTAACACGCTCCCTCTGTGTCTCCCCCAGACATTTCCTATACTTTAAGCCATAATGTCATTCAGGGAAAATTAGCTAGAGCACCTAAGGATAATAGATTTGTAAGCTCAACACCACTTAGGAGCCCATGTGTTCAGCCACTGGGAAGTTTTTATATGTTGATAATTATTTGTGAAAGGATGCTCATGTCCTAGACTGTGAGAGAAATTGCACTTTTGAATTACTGCCAAAAATACAAGAGAATGGTTGGTTTAGCTTATAATCTTTAGATTGATTTTTGGCTGGAAAACGGTTGAATATTTGAAAGTAGTGTCACTTGGTGTTAGTGGCCAAATGTGTTCTCTGTGGACCCAAGAAAGAGTAATCATAGTTGATTGATACCTCACAGAAAAAATGCAAGAGCAAGATAAGTTAATGTAAGTTATCTGGTGTTAATAATTTAAATATACTACTAAGCTAGATGGAGATTTTACAGTCAGTCATGAACTCTTTGGTTGCAGAGTGTTAATGGGTATGAGTCCATCTAGTCCTTTTGGGACAACTAGTTGGGATATAAACTTTGTTTTCCAGGAATTATGTTCATTTTCCCAGGACCTCACCAGCCCTGCCCCATTTGTTTGTGGTTGATGAAATCATAGCATCTGGACTTTTTAGGGGGAAACTTTAAAAAAAGCCAACTATTACATCAACTGAGGAAAAAAATGACCATGGAACAGAAGGACAATAAGGACCGTTCTTTATATTTCATGCTATTCCCTTACTCTCATCCCACTTAAAGCAGCACATTTTCCTTCCCAGAGAGCCAAAGCTAAATGATAATGCCGCTTTAGATTAGATTCAGAGTATTCAGCCTCCGAGATCATCCTTCCAAATTGCCTGATCTTACAGAGAAGGATATCCAGCCTTGTGATGTTAAACGTCTTGGCCAAAGCCTCACAGCTGCTTGTTGGCAGGCTGGGGCTGGGCTGGAGGTCCCTGGCTGCCAGGCATGTCCTTCCTGCTAAACTGGGCTACACAGTTTAACCTTACCACGCCGGTGACCTTTCTTACCAGTGTTCTAAGTTAATAAGGAAGTTGTTATCGTTCTACATCAGAGCCGTGTAAGTTTGATTTCACTCTTACTTTCTTCTGAAGCCTGTTGGGATAACCCTAGGAAGAAGTCTGCAAGTAAGATGTCCTAATTGAAGAGTGATGATAACAGATGATAACGACATGGCTAAGGTTTATTGTGCACTTCCTGTGTGCCAGGGTCTGAGTGAATGTACTGTTACGTTAATAAGATATATTGATCTCAAAAGTAACCCAGTGAAGTAGCCACTATTGTCTTGCCCAGTTCACCAATGAAGAGATTGAAGTTCAGGGAAATCATGTGCAAGGCCATACAGCAAGGAAGTAGCCACAGAGGAGCTTCTCCAGATCCCTGCTCTCAGCCCCCATTACATGCTATTCTAGTAGTTCATGGAGCATGTACCCGTCACAGCCGGGGCGGTGATGATTACGATCAAAGCAAGAATGATAATTGTGCTCATTTACTATTTTCGCTTACCACAAATCAGGCCCAATACTGAGCACCTTGCACTTGTTAGCGCTAATCTTCAGAGCTCTTTAAAATGATCCCATTTTACACGCGAGGCACTGAAGCCAGGAAAGTCTTAGTGACATTTACACTCATATACCTAGAATTTATTTTTCGATTAAATTCAATCTCACTACTAAGTCCAGGATCTTTGTATTTTTATTTTATCTTTGTATCTTAGTATTTTCAGACCCTGCATTTGTATACACTCCCACTTAAAACGTCAACAATTGAGGAGTTGATTATAAGCCTGAGTGTGCCCAGGAGTAATACCTGGTGCCATAGTGATGCAGCAGCACGCAGGCTCCAGGCCACTTGCATGCAGTTCCTAGTGCAGCTGGGCTCATGCTAGCCCTTTCCTTAGGTGACGGTCATATCTATTATGACCCATTACTTACGGACCTTTTAGGCTTTCAAGTGACATTCAGATAACATTCTGATGAATCATTCCCTTTATTTCCCAATTTTAGGGCTATGACTCACTGACATCGCCTTCATTTTGCTGTAAATCAGTGATGGTCTAATATAAATAAAGAAAAAGGGAACATTTGGGGAAATGTTCAGTGGTCACAGCTGGCTGGCTCTAACCCCTGTGTAAAATATTAGAGCACAAATTGAGAGAGATTTAAAGGGACAACAGGGAGGTACAGGAGAGGAGTTAGCCTTGCAGGCTCCTTCTGTGGCCGTCATCAGCGCCCTGGGAAGGAGGACGGGAAAGGGAGAAGGCAGTGTTCCTTTCCCATTTTGTATGAGCCAGGGGAAAAGAGAAACCCAGGGCGTGCCTGAAACCAGAGGACCTCAACAGCTCCTTGCTCCTTGCTAGCAGCTGCCGGGCCTGCCGAGTATCCAGACATTCTGCAGCTGCTCCCAGTCTGTGAGCGCATCCAGATGTCTGCCACCAGCCTCCCAGGCACCTTCAGAAAGAAGGTTGCACATGGCCAGCCTATACACAGGCACTTTCCACGGTGGGATCCCAGGACAGGGCGGCAGTGCCTCCCAGGGGTCCCCCTGCTCCTCTAGGGGTCCCCCCGCCCCTTTGAGGATTGTTCGGGCTTGGCTACAGAGTTATCCTGGGAGAGAGAAGTTATTCATTCTGAAATATAAGTACTCTGGACCCGAGCTTTGCCCCAGCCATCTCCTCTGTGCCTTCAACCCCTGAATTGGGCACTGACTTAAGGAAGACATCCACGGGAGGAGAGGGCTGTGTGCCAGATACCATTTAACATGATTAGAGACATGTATGAATTGAATTCACTTGTATAAGAAAAAATAAAGGAATTACCATATTGTTCTCTACCCTAAACTGGAAAAATCTATTTCCAAAAATGTAAGTCTTTTAAAGTATCCTTTTTGGCTTCGCCAAGAACCAGCAAAGACAAAAATTTGGAGCCATATGGAGAGAGTCAGGTTAGTATTTGAGAAAATATTTATGCATTTACTGAATTACATCCTCTGATAGCTTGAGCTACTAGTTTATTTAATAGCAGCTTTAAATGAATTTTAAAAGTGGTTTAAAAATTACATTGATGGAATGGATGCAGTTCCCCCCCACCCCTTGATTTCTACCAGAAATACTGTTTGAAATGCAGGCTTTAGTAGTTTGGGGGAGGTTTGTGGGTTCTCTTAGATTCCACATTGTTTCTTAATTGCCATCATCCTCTCTTCTTTGCTTTTGTACAACATGTCCTTGATTTTTCAGGAGTTGGATGATGAGGACTATTCTTTGTACTCTTGTCACCCTAATTTTTTCCGCTAGTTTCTTGTGATTACACATATGGCCTTTTTTTTTTTTTCATTTTTAAAAATATGCACAGTTACTGAGAAACAAAACTTGTGTCTGTCATTGGGAACATTATGCCTTTACCAGGAAAAAGAAAAACTCTTCTTTAAAACAAAGTATACTAAGTATCAAAAACCCTGAATCACAATGATCAGAGGATGAACCAAAAGAAGAGTAATATTTATGCAGATTATTCTGTAATGGACAATATCTGTTCTCTGTTCTCCATTTCGTTAAACTGGAACTCCTAGTACAATTGAATTCTCTGTGCTCAGTGGTTTAATGAGGATCTTGAGTAACACTAGTCAAGGCCTAGTTAAATTTGGGTGGCCACAGACTAGAGAATCAGAGATTGAATAGGATGGAGAACTCCATGAGCAGTCTCCAGGAATTGTGGGTGTAGTCTGTGCTGTGTGCAGGCATTCCTCCCTGCAACCCCTAGCTGTGGCCTATACAGGCCTCCCCCCAGCGCCTCTTGTAGACTGACTGAACTTAAATGAAACATGGCCATGGACCAGTGGGCAGAAGTACTTGTTTCTCATGTTCACCCTGCATCCCCCGTGGTCTTCTCATAGCTGGAATGGAGCATTTTTAATCCTTCAGAATGAGAAAAGCATCTGAAAGTGCTAATTTCTTTCCTCGAAACGAATCATCAATTTCCCCTGAATATTTAGCGTAATGTGAGTCTCTGAAGCCTCCTTCTCCCCACCCGTCTATCACACTACACTGACATTACATACATCGTCTTATTCTTATTTCCTTGTCTCTTGTAGACTAACTGCTTGTCAAGGGCAGGCAGTTACTCACCAGTCATCAAACTCCGTGCAGGGACTCAATCCAGTGTTTAATAACTGCATTGGTGAACGGACCCCCATTTATTGGAGAACTAGAAGAGATTGGCCCCTCAATGTTGAATGGAAGCCAATACTTTAGTCCAGTGATTCTGAAGCTTCATTATGTTAAGAAAGATACAGAAGCTTCTGAAAATGCAGGTATGCAGGCTCCACTCTTGAGCTTTTTTAGTAGGGTGCCCAGTTCTTAAGGGTCTGAGACATAGTTAAGCTCTGAATTGCAGCATCTCATTTTATATCTATGACCCAATTGTAAAATGTCTGGTTCTTGCAAAGGAAATGGTAAAAGTGACCTAGTGGGAAAATTAAGTTATTTTTACTGACTGTTCCTATATCACTGTACTTTTTGAATTAACGCTTCATGGTTCTCTCTTACTAGGATAATGTCCTCCATCAGGGAGTAATGGTGTTAGTGTAATTGCCTCTTTATATTACCTGGATCATCTGGATGGGGGCCAGCGCTTCCTGTCCACACAGAGGCACGTCTGCCCTCTGGACTAGCAGTGCAAGGTGGAGGCCCTCCTGTCCGAAGTGATGGGCCAGGGCCTCCTTGACCTCCTGTTTCACCTGGTGCTTACTCAGCCTGCTGTGTGGATAGCCTGGAGTGTCCAACACCTGGACCTGCAGGGTTGTCTCTTGTCCCCCACGACGCATGAAGTTGTGGAGGTGACAACTGCGGCTCAGGCTGCAATCTCTGGTCACAGAGCATGCAGCAAAGCTGCTGTGGAAGTCAGTGCTTCCCAGCAGAATGTTCCCAGCAGAACTTTTTCCACTCTGAGTCATGCCAAAGAGGGCCACGTTGATGGTCACTTTGTTGGTCTGGGTCATGGCTGTGGGTGGACAGGCACAGGCGTTAGGCTTCCATCCCCTACCCAGGTAAGGCTTCTGAGCTGGCCTGGAGCACTACACGTGTCCCTCCTCTGTGGAGACCACAGCATGGAAGGGTGAGCCTGTACAGTGGAGATAGGCAGCGACAGAGGGAGACTGAATATTATCAATAGTTTGCAGAGGAGAGAGAGTTCAAGTGTGGATTAGGAGAAGAGGAAGAAGCAATCATGGTAGGAATATAAGGGGAAAATCCCAAATCACCTGAATAGATAATGTTAAGCAGGTGCAGGAGAAATAGGTCACCTCATCAGTGTGGTGAGTGAGTTGATGGGAGAACCTGTTCTGAGGTTCCTGACGTTAGGAACAAAGCTGGCTGCAGTGTTTGAGATGCGTTCACTCAAGGAGTAGTAGGAATTGAACAGTAGAGAGAATGGCCCTTCTGGCATGTGTAACGTCCCCATCTCCCCACCTCCTCACTCCCTGAATACACACGTGGCATCTGCCAAAAGTCACCTCCCCCCACTTCCTGAATGCTTCTCTCCTATGAGACATGAATAGTATTAAGGAAGATTTCTATTTCTGTTGACTAAAAATGTTTTTATAACCAGGCAACTTTCTGAAAAAAAAGGTGAACTATTTGTTTTCTGTTATGAAATAGCTAAATCACCATAAATCACCTCCGTGGCCGACACAGGACAGCTTGGCTCTTTAATAAAGAAGCCACCACATTGCGTAGCTCATCCAGGAGGAAGGAATCCTGGGGAAAGTCGCCCCATTGGCGATGCCTGTGAATTGTCCTTAGTATTTTCTGCATAGTGTAAGCCCCTCATAATATTTTAAGGCCATCAACCATTTCATTAGATTGATAAGACAACACTTCTGCCAGTTGCCAGTTGTGCTTTCTCTGTTGATTCAGAAATAAAGCTAGTTAATAAGTTACTTTTATTATGATTAATACTATTTCACAGTTTCATATACCTCTGATCTTTCTTTTTTTTCTAGTGCCCTTCTCCCCTGTCTAATTCTAATATGAATACCTTGAAGGAACCTCACAGCCCTATACAAAGATACTTCTTCCTGGAGTCTCTCATGGGGACCCTAGCTCACGCCACTCATTCAGCTGTATCGGCTGCACTTCAGTCAATAAGATTTCTTATTATTTTCAAATCAGATGTATGATTAAAAAGTTTAATGATGGAATCCCAATCCGTTTGCTAAATATCACATACCTTTTCCAAACGTGAAAGTGCTTTCTTCACAAAAGCTTCCCTCCAGCTGGTACAGTTGTTCTTTCCTATGAACCTTAACCTTCTGGTGTATTATTGTACCACTCTGGGGCTGACACTGTGTGCATTTCCTTTAGTTAATCTATTACCAGGATCCTCTTGATAAATGATTAGTTGTCTGTCTAATCAGCACTGACTTTTTTATGTCACCTGACACACTTATAATTTTAATAGCTACTTCCTGAAACTTCTCTTTCCAGGAGTAAGTTGTTTATTTTAGGACACTGCTAATAAGGGAGCAATTTATCCAGATGATAAATAAATGCAAGATGAGCAGATGTTAAACAGAATCTAGACTTGTAAAAGCAACATTAACAATTTTGCTCATTGTAATTGATGAATACCCTATCATTACTTCATTGCTTCATGGAAAGTTTCAATAAATAGATATTTGATACATGTACAATAAATAGATACTGAATTTATAACAGCATTTAGTTCATAAATTCAAAACTTTTCTAAGAAAGCTCTGTTGGCTATTTCTGCATAATCCAAATCTGTGATCTTATCCCTGTTAATGTAATCACTAGTGTGAGTATATCAGTATATGCATTTTCCTCATAAGTTAATGATAGCATATATAAGAAAAAGAGTACAACTAAATGTTGCTTAAAAAAACTGGGGTTTTATTTTGTTCTCAAAAGCTTAAATTTAATTTTTTTCCACTTCTTAGTTTGGAACCCATGCTTTCCAAGAGTGTCTGGGTGTATAAGATGTAGAAATCTTCTTCTGGTTAATCTTCTGGACATCTCAAAAGTTCTGTAAAGTATGTATTCCTATGTGAAGGAAATTGGGAGATGTCTGGGATGTCTGTGATTTCACGGGCAGAGAGTTGACCAGCACATCGGCTTTCGTGGATGAAACAGACAGAGCCTCCCCCAGGTGGCAGTAGCTGCCTATTTCCTAAAAATTAATTTTTGAACCAGAATTTATTTTCATTTTCTTCCTGAAACCGTAAATTGGCATTTTTCAGCTGGACACTCTATATCAGCATGTATTAATTGTGTAGGCAATGTTTTGAATATAGAAGGCTTCTTTCCTCCGTTTCTTTTCTTTCTTTTTTTTTTTAATGATAGTTGCAAATATGACATTTTATTTTATTTTTTTTTTAAATTAGCAAGTTGATTTTATTTTTTATTTTTTATTTTTTTAAATAATAAATTTTATTTTTATATTCCCCATACAATTGCAGCCCCCCCCATTCTGACCCCAATCCTCCCCTCCCGCCCCTGCCCCCCTAAAGTGTCTCTGGTTCATAGTTTTTTGTTGATTTTGATTTTCACTTTCTTATAGTTATTCATTTTCCTGGTCCCTTATTTAAGTTTTCTAGATTCCTGCTATGAGTGAGACCATCCGTATTTTTCTTTTTCTTTCTGGCTTATTTCGCTGAGCATGAGCCCCTCCAGTGCCATCCATGTTGCTGCAAATTGCATGTGTTTATCTTTTTTGAATGCTGAGTAATATTCCATGGTATATATGTACCACATCTTCTTGATCCAGTCATCTATTTTGGGCATTTGGGTTGTTTCCAAAGCTTAGCTATTGTAAACAGTGCTGCTATAAACATAGGGGTGCAGGTGTTCTTTGGAATGGATGTTTCTGTGTCCTTTGGGTAAATACCTAGGAGTGGAATTGCTGGATCCTATGGAAGCTCTATGTTTAGTAGGTCCAGAAATCTCCACACAGCTCTCCACAGTGGTTGGACCAGTTTGCACTCCCACCAACAGTGCAGGAGAGTTCCTTTTTCTCCACACCCTCGCCAACATTTGTTGTTGCTAGTTTTTTTAATATGTGCCATTCTCACTGGTGTAAGATGGTATCTCATGGTAGTTTTGATTTGCATTTCCCTGATGACAAGTGATGTTGAACATTTTTTCATATGCCTGTTGGCCATTTGCATTTCCTCTTCAGAGAAGTTTCTTTTTAGCTCTTCTGCCCATTTTTTGACTGGATAATTTTCTTTGTTGTTGTTGAGTCTCATCAGCTCTTTGCAGATTATTGTGATCAGTCCTTTATCATTAGTGTTGGGTGCAAAAATGTTCTCCCAGTTGGTGGGGTTTCTCTTTGTTTTTGTTATTGTCTCTTTTGCTGTGCAGAAGCTCTTTAATTTGATGTAGTCCCAGCTGTTTATCTTTGCCTTCACTATCACTGCTTTGGGTGATGTGTCTGTAAAGATGTCTTTGATGTGCAAATCACGTAGTGTTTCGCCTATATTTCCTTCTATATATTTTATGGTTTCAGGTCTTATGTCTAGTTCTTTAATCCATTTTGAGTTGATTTTTGTGTATGGTGTGAGGTAGTGGTCAAGCTTCATTCTTTTGCATGTAGCGACCCAGTTTTCCCAGCACCATTTATTGAACAAACTTTCTTTGCTCCAATGCATAGTCTTTGCTCCTTTGTCAAAGATTAGTTGACCATAAATCTGTGGGTTTATTTCTGGATTTTCTATTCGATTCCATTGGTCTGTATGTCTGTTCTTGTTCCAATACCATGCAGTTTTGATGATTATGGCTTTGTAGTATAGTTTGAAGTCTGGGAATGTGATGCCTCCATTCCCTTCTTTTTTTTTCAGGAGAGCTTTGGCTATTCGGGGTTTTTTGTGATTCCATATGAATTTCATCAATAATTGTTCTATTTCTTTGAAGAATGACATTGAAATTTTGATTGGAATAGCATTGAATCTGTATATTGCTTTTGGAAGGATGGCCATTTTAATAATGTTTATTCTTCCAATCCATGAGCAGGGGATGTCTTTCCATTTCTTTGTGTCTTCTTCTATTTCTTTTAACAGTGTTTTATAGTTTTCTTTGTATAGGTCCTTTACCTCTTTTGTTAGATTTATTCCCAAATATTTGATTTTTTTTGTTTCAATAAAAAAGGGATGGTTTTTTTGATTCTTCTTCTTCTTCAGATTTATTTGTTGTGTATAGGAAGGCTACTGACTTTTGCGTGTTGATTTTGTATCCTGCCACTTTACTGAACTGATTGATGAGTTGAATTAGTTTTTCTGTGGAGTTTTTGGGGTTCTCTATGTATATTATCATATCATCTGCAAATAGTGATAGCTTGACTTCTTCTTTTCCTATTTGGATTCTTTGGATGTCTTTCTCTTGTCTTATTGCTCTGGTTAGGACTTCCAGTATTATATTGAAAAGCAGTGGTGAGAGTGGACATCCTTGTCTTGTTCCAGATCTTAATGGAATTGCTTTCAGCTTTTCACCATTGAGAATGATACTGGCTGTTGGCTTGTCATAGATGGCCTTTATGATGTTGAGGTATGTTCCTTGTATCCCAAGAATTTCAAGGGCTTTTATCATGAATGGGTGTTGCACTTTGTCGAAAGCATTTTCAGCATCTATTGATATTATCATGTGGTTTTTATATTTCTTTTTGTTGATGTGTTGGATAACGTTGATTGATTTTCGGATGTTAAACCATCCCTGTGTCCCTGGAATGAATCCTACTTGGTCGTGGTGAATTATCTTATGGATACACTGTTGGATTCTGATAGCTAAAATTTTATTGAGGATTTTTGCATCAGTGTTCATTAGGGAGATTGGTCTATAGTTTTCCTTTTTTGTGTTGTCCTTGTTCGGTTTTGGTATTAGTGTAATGTTGGCTTCATAGAACGTGTTTGGTATTTTCCCTTCCTTCTCAATTTTTTGGAAGAGTTTGTGAAGGATAGGCACTAATTCGTCTCTGAATGTTTGGTAG